GCCGCATGCGCAAGCAAAGCGAAACAAGGAATTCATTCACCACTTCCCATGGGCAGGCAGGTGTTCAGCCATCTCCCGGAAAGCAGGGCTCCATCACGTGTAACAGTTACTTAGGAAGACAAACGCCATCACTCTGAATGTCCTCCCCTTCTTCTCCCGGCTTTTATTGCTGAGCATGACATCATATGGTGTGGAATACCCCTCTGGTCAGTTGGGGTCAGCTGTCCCAGCTGTGTCCCCCCACAATTTCTCGTGCATCCCCAGCCTGCTCGCGGGTGGGGTGGTGTGAGGAGCAGAAAAGACTTTGATGCTGTGTAAGCACTGCTCAGCAATTACTAAAACGTCCCTGTGTTGTCAATGCTGTTTTCAGCACAGTTCCAGAACATAACTCCATCCAAGCTACTATGAAGAAAATTAACGCTATCCCAGCCAAAACCAGCACAGGTAGAAAAAGAGATTATTTATCAGAAGTTATTCTCAAAGATGCTTAGTCAATGGGCAGATTAATTTACAATTCTCTTTCCCATTCTTAGAATCCTTTTGGTGATGCTAGCTCAAAGGGAGCTAACACAGGTGTGCTCTGTTTATACTGAGCATGAGCATGTGTGGGAGTGTCTGGACACATAGGGGTAGTGCACAAGTAAAAAGGTAAATCAGTTACTCTGAATGACAGAACTAGTAAGATAACCCCATGCCAAAAAAACCCCACCCCCAAACAGTATAGCTACATCAGAAATGACTGTCATTTGAAAGAGCATAGGGTCCACTTGTTTTTTTTTTTGGTCTCCAAATATTCTGAAACACATAGTAGGACAAGTGTTGAGGGTGTATAGACACCTTTCAGTTATCTGGGACAGAGAATTGTGGTGCTTGTGTTTTCCATTAGCTGAAGTAAAATAGGTACTATTGGATGTGAGAATCAGAAGGTAAGAGGCAGCTGGGGCTTGCTAGTTTTGGGTCAGCTTTCCAGAGACAAGCTAGCTTTTGCAGAACTGTTAAGATTGCATCCTGTTACTAGGAGGGAAGAGGTGAGAAAACAGAATGCTATAGATTCAGAGAAAAGGGATAGCTTTGTAGTGGGTATCTCACATTTGGCAGTGTATCTGAGATGTACTGCTCCCAATGAAAAGAGACCCTGCTTTCCTTGCTGCCTTCCATATATAGGGCAAATACTGCCCTAGCCAGAACTTCCTCCTTAACATAGCACACTGTTCTGTCATGCCTAGCTTCCCTAGGGGTATTTCCTTGCCCTTCTTTCCCAAGAATTTCCTAAATCACATGCCTTTAGAAATCCTGAACACGGATCTATATCCCAAGACTTCCAGCATAGTCCAGCTCAGACTGTGTGCCAGGGAGTCTGATCACAGCTCAGCCTGAGGGAAACAGTTCCCAGTCCAGCCCCATGCTGCTGACACCTTCCTTCCATTTGTTTTTTAAACTACGACTGATTCCTGCACCTTGCCCTTTTCTTTCTCAGTTTCTTATTCAGATAAGAGTGGTTCCTGTGGAGTAAGCTAAGCAGGAATTCACTTGCCTCTGTTTTGTGACTGTAGCATACTAAGAAAGACACAACCCATAATTAAAACAAAATTGTCTTGTTTTCTAAAAGGTACTTACTAGCTCAGCCAGAAGCTAAAGCACAAAAAACAGTGGCTGAAATTCTCTGGCAGGTGTTTCCCAGACCAGGCCAGATGGCAATACCTTATTATGGCTTTCAATTTTTGTAAGTAATCTTACTGGCAAGTGTCTTCATAATTCCCATGAGTTGATGGCTATCTTGTATAATAACCCTTCTAGTTGGAGGCACTGCTTTAATTATTCCATTTTGTGTAGATGCTGTTTTTCTTATTACTGCTTACAGGTAGGTTTATCAAATTGTTCTGATTTTTTTTCCTGCTTATTTCTCTGCCTATTTTTTTAATTGCAATTCATTTCATGGGTAGAGGACACTGGACCCTATTCTGTAGGAGAAGGTTGGCAAGGCTGCCTATTCAGACCTGCCTTTTAATATGTTGGTTTGTATCCCCTTTGCTGTCTTCTTGTTAGAACAGAAATCTGCATTCTGTAATCTGTTAACTACTGGAGGTCTGTATATAGTTAGATGACCTGTGAAAGTTTTTCTTTAATTGGCATGCACAAGCAAACAAAACAAGGGAAAAAATAATAACTGTTCAAAGCTTAAACTAACTTCTGTTTCATCACTAATGACAAACAACTGGGCAATGCAATTCAGGATAGTTCATGGTGTGTTTTCTGAAGGCTTATGTTAATTTAAAGGTACACATACCGTTTTCAAACCATGTTTCTGTTCTGGTTTCTTTAAACGGACTTGCATATCATTATATCCTCTTAACACAGATTTATAACATATTCAGTCTGCTCCTCATATACTAAAGGTTTTGGGCTAATTACTGCTTCTGCATGGGTGCTATCAATGCTGGTGAGCTGGCCCCAGCTGATACTCAGTGCCTTGTAGTGGCTGGAATTGATGTAGAACATGGTAACTTACAACGTCAGCTCACTGTATTCCTGTTTGTCTCATTACATCCTTTTTTTTTTCTTTTTTTTTTTTTTTATTTTTGCTAGTGATGATCTGACAACTGTCTTTATTTCCCTTGCATGCCTAGGGCGCTGGTATATCCGGGAAGGCTGGCTTTTGGTGGTGCCTTCAAAGGGAGAAGAACTGAAGCGCAGGATGTTCTTCCTTTTTTCTGATATCTTTATTGCAACAAAGCCCTGCCACCCACTGCACCCGCTGAACTCGAACAAATTGGCATGCCAGGCTGTCTACCCACTTCACCAGTGCGTAGTGGATAAAGTGTTCGGCCACACGCAGAGCCAGGGAGGGCTCCTCAGTGTAAGTCTTCCAGGTTCTGCCTGTGAGAAACATCCCTGGGGTCAGACCTGCAAAGCAGGTCTTTAGCTGTCTTAGCAGCAGCAGGACTGAGATGATGAGAGTGGTGACAACGGTAAAGGCAATCAACTGGTCTGAGTTAGGGCAACCCTTCTCTTCTTGAGGGATGCAGGTCCTTTTCCCTTCATGGTGTAGGCCCTCCTGAGCACTCTGGGGTACAGGCTGCTGGTTGCCTCACTTAGTTCAGGTGAGGAGGGTCCGATAAGCCTGTGACATGCCCTCATCAGACCCACATGTTTGGGAGGGACGGGACAGCCCCACTGTCATGTGACAATGAATACATAGTATTACATTGACTATGGACTGAGCTTATAGAAAACCTTGAAAAACAGACAATATGAAAAGATGTGGGTATTATCACAACAGACATTGCTTGTGCATCTAACTCCCTGAGGGCTGCAGGGTGTTTGGCTGGGACTGATGCCTTAGTAGGGGTTTCAAGTTGGGTCTTCCTAGGCTGCAGCACCTGGAAGCTGTGTTAGCCCATTCCTTGTCAGCTACGACAGGGAAGATGCTTTGGGAGAGCTGTGATCTGTAGGTAGTGGTAGTGGAAGGACCCCTACGGGCAGCTTGCAATATGGGAGAAAACTGGATGAAGGGCTGCCAAGAACTGTTTTGCCCACTTGCAAACACCCTATGAAGTCAAAGTGAGCTGTCATCTGTGGCTGGAAGGAATGGACAAGACTGGCACTTGATCTGTACTGTCCAGCCCCTAGCTTCTCCTAGTACCAATGCTAAATTTTTCTATCTGGGAAAGAAAATGGTGGAAATTGGCACGCAGGCCAAAGTTGAGTTCAGTGGTGATAGTTCTCCTTTTAGCAGAGTTGCTGCCTTGGCAAGGAATGCCATAGAGTGGCACCAGATTCTGTTTGCCTTTCAGCTTTCCTTTCCACACAAGACACTGTTGTTGATGTCCAGCGAACAACAAGATATTCATGACTGGTATCAGAGTCTCACAGCTGCAGTCAGGTAGGCATCTAATTTCCAGAGGTGGAAGGGGCTGAGGGAAGGGGGCAGAACATAAAAATTGATCATATGGACCTGTGTATTTACATGTATTACATGGTTATAAGGCTGATAGAGAAGACCTGACTGGCAGCCAGGATACAAGGGAATAGTAAGAACGGATTTAGTGTATTAACAGTAAACTTCCCCTTTGTTTTCCTCTACAGGCAGCTGAAAGCCTGACACACCTGAGTACAAGACAGACCTGCAGGACAACCGCCCCTCTTGGTGTAGAAGTCTACACAACCTTAAGAAATGTTCAAGGACTTATAGTAGGAGAATTGCATTTAGAGAGATTACACCCTGTGCTTGTGAGGTTATGAATGTTTTGTCGGCTGTCCTAATCTTATACAGATATTGCAATAAATAGGTATGCGCACTAAGGATTTGTATATAAAAAAATCTGTATCAAGAATTTTCCCCAACTTAGCTTAGAAGCTTCTAGCTTTCTACACTTTTTTTCCCTCAGGTTATTAAAGGACAAGCAGAATAAAGCCTGACTTGCTTCCCTTATTAAATGTTTTTATCCAACTGTCTTTCTAAGTCAGTGTTTTCCCATTTATTTGTCTACATGTGTATCTACCTGTTCTTGCTTCTGGGTCCTTTGATCAAAACAGGTATTTTGGATAATAGTAACATGAGCATAACACCATATTTTCAGCTAGTGCTACAGGGCCACAGCCATCTTCCTTCCTTGACATATTTTTATCATTCATATCCTTGAGTTTTCTACAAAAATAGTTTGACAGTTATTGTCCTTCCTCCTCCAAGAAAGTGACGGGTGGGCAGATCAAGGGAAAATGATTCAGTGGTTAAAGTCCTACCTCTCAGTTTCTCATCAATCCCACTGGAAAGTTAATCTACTGAACTATCTGAAACAAACTGGTAGGTAACGTAGATTTACACTTATCAAACAGCATTCACATTTCCAATCTGAATCCCAAGATTATGCATACGAAACAGCACTCACCTTTGCCTTCAAGGTATGCTTTGAAATGCTGCAGTGAAAAGCCTGGACAGCACTTCTGCTCCTGAAGCACAGGGAAGATCTCCAGAGGGCTGTGGTCAGCATTCTGGGTCATTAATTACTGGTAATGTGCTGGGGTTCAGTTTACTAGGTTGAAAGACCAATTTAAGGAACAAATATAGATAAGGTATTACTCTTGAGTATTTCATTAAAGCCTCAACATGGACTTTTAATAATGTGGAAGCTCTGCAGCAATGGCAGTTTGGTTCATCTCTTCTATGGAGTGGGAAAACATCTGTTTGAACAAGATGCTAGGTCAACTGCAAAGAGGGCAGTTTCAAGGTTATTAGAAACATAAAAATTAAGGGCTGCCTGAACACTGATTTCTTGGTAGTTTGACTCTTGTTTCTTCTTCCTTAAACAGTACCACACATCTTTAATTTCGCACTGGAATTAATTAAAACAGAAGTGGTAGTGTGTGAGGTACACGTCCTGAAAAGAGAATTACCACATTTTAAGTTCTTTAACATCGCTTGGTGGGTTTGGGGTTTTTTTTTTCGGTCTTTCCATACAGCTAACTTGCTATGTAAGACCATTCATTTGTCTTAAGTTTGTGAAACTTAGGAGGGAGGAAGGAACCCAACATGTCTGGTGGTTTGGTTGTTTCCTGCCCCCCGCCTTCCCCCAGCTACAGTTAGGACTTCCAAGTACTAGTGGTACTTGAAATAAAAGACAAAGCTAGCAACTTAAGTTTCTCATCTCCCAGTAGTTGTATCACTCTGAAAAAGTTCTGCTACTACCCTTTTTTGGTCTTATAGGATAATACATCTATTTCTTGCAAGCTTATGTCTGAGGCTGAGATGTCTACCAAGCTCTCAGTAGAGACTACTATTATTCCTGCCCCCATTGCCTCCTTATTATAACACAAGTCCCTTTGGTACTGCCTCTTTTAAGACTTATCTCTGTGCTACCATCCCATTTGCATTCAGTGCTTCTTAAACAGCAAAACCAGCTTGATTTTTCACTGAATTTCCCACCGTGAAAGGCTGCACACCGGCTTCTAGAAACACTGTAGCTCTGTCACAGTGAAGCGGAGACACTGCCCCAGAGAGTAGGGCTGTTGGACCAGAAGCTATAACAAACCCAGTCTTTGCTGCAATAAGCTACTAACTCATGTGCACAGGACTATAATCCAAATAAATAGACTCAAACTCACTTTCTGAACAGAGTTTATTTACACAGAGAGTATCAACCATTAGGGTTCCCAGCTTGATTTCCTTCTCTTGCTGAGTCTTTATTCAGACTACAGGATGAAACAAGTAAACCTTGAGCTTGCGTCCCTGTCATGGCAACCCATGGTTAGTAATCAACCTTCAGACCTCCCAGGACATCCTCCATTCCTGTGCTCCAGGATGGCGACAAGCTGGCTGGTGCGTGGGCAGCTCAGGCCAAGCCCCATCCCTGCGCAGGCACGGGGTCCCCCTCAGGGCAGAGAGGGGGATGCCTAGACAGGGGTGCCCTCGGGGGTCTGGGGGGCTGCCGCCTGCTGCATGTCCTGCCGGTAGCCCTTCAGAAGCTGGTTGATCAGTGTCTTCTCAGTGTCGCGGCGCGGGCAGATGAGCGGTGGGAAAGGGTTGCCCTTGAGCTCGATGACCGCCATCTTTGCCCGATCAAGACCATCCCGGTTGGGGATCTGCAGCAGGCGAGTGTAGCTGCCGGGGTGGGGCTGGAACCGGGGTGCCAGCACCTTGAACAGCTTGTGGATGAGGTCCTTCTCCTGCGGGGTGGCACGCTCAGCTCCAGCACCACGGCTGGGGTGGGTGGGGGACGACGGGGACACACAAGGAGGAATTTGGGGTGGGGGGGTGGTGGCGTACTTACCGTCAGCCAGAAATTCGCCATGCGCATGGCGCGCTCGTTGGCGTCCCCCAGCTTGGCGTACTCGATGAGCTGCGGGGAGGAAGGAGGCAGAGTCGTTAGGGTCCCTCGGCCGCCCGCCGCTTCCCCCGTCCCCGTCCCCGTCCCGGTGAGGCCCGGCCGCTCACCCGTTCGGCGTAGCCCCTCATCTCATCGGCCCGCGCCCAGGGCGCCTCGATGCGCTCATGCCGCACCAGCGCCGTCACGAGGTTGCGCAGCAGGTCGAGGCGCGAGCGCGGGCCCAGCCCAAACCGCCGGTGCACTCGCCCGTGCGAGATAGCGGCCGCCACCGACAACCGCATCCCACCGCCTCAGCCGCCGCCGCCGCCCGGGCACTGCGGGAAGCGCGTCCCGGCAGCCCCCGCGCCCCGAGCCGCGCAGCACGCCGGGAGTTGTAGTTCGCCCCTACGCGCCGGCACGACCGGCTGCTGCTGGATAGAGCAGCAGGGGCAGAGGGCCGCCGCGGGGCTCGGCGGGAAGCGGAGCCCGGAGCCGCGTACCGAGAGGTCTGAACGGGGCAGGGAAGCCGGGGCCGGCCCGGGAGCGGGCCCCCGGCCTCCCGGGTAGGGGTGTTCGACGCACCTCGGTGGCGTCACAGCGCGCAGGCGCAAGGGAGGGGGCGCCTCGAGGGGCATCCTGGGCGAGGGCGAGCCGCGGGGCATGCCGGGAGTTGTAGTTCCGTGACCTGGCTGGGCCGGCCGCCATCTGCCGCGGCTGTGCGGCCCTGTCCCGCCGCGGCCAGCCCGGCGGTGTAACAGCCCCGCTGCTCTCTCCGCGGCATCGGGGCGCCCCCGGCGCGAGGCCCTGGCGGCGGGCGGGCTCTGAGGTGAGGGAGGAGAGCAGCCGGCCTCCCTGCTGCCCCTCACGGCGGCTGTGGCGGGGTGGGGGACACCGCCGGGACGGTGGAGGCTCCGCCAGGCGCGAAGGGCCAGAGCCTTTGTCTTATCGCCCCTTTTCCCTCTGTACCGGTAGCGGGATGCCAGAGGAGTCTTGGACCCCCAGTATCGCATCCCCAGGCTGTGCAGAAGCTGCGTACGCCGGCACCATGGGGTAAGGCTGCTGGATCCAGCCTCACGTAGCCCTCACAGGGCGCAGGAGCCGCCACCCTAATAGTGGAGGTGGGTGCGGGCCTTATTTCCACACGGACCCGCCGTATTCTGCAAGAGCTTGTGCCCCCGTGGTGCTCCTGGCAGCGTGTGTAGTGCAGCTCCAAGAAAAATGCTACAAGGCAGGGTAAGGAGTTTCCTGCTACTTGTTTCTTCCAGCCAACATTTCTGTATTTCAGAGAAGGAATGTGTAACAAAAGCAGCTACCAACAGTGTAAGAAAAAATATCTTTGTTATTATGAATACATCATAAAATCCCCATCATTTTACACAGTTTTTAGGATTTCATATATAAATAAAGTGAACAGTATAGTTATTGGAATGTGTAATAGGAACAAACATACGGATTTTAATGTGAAATTAACATATTCTGGGACACCCCCCACCCCCACACCCCATCTTTTGTTGCTTCTCTGGGGCTTAGCGTATTAACTCTGAAATACTTCCAGGAAAAGGTTACTCAAGCTGTGACGCCAACAATAACTCCAGGCGTTATCTTAAATTCCCTTTACAATCAATTTTCCTTTCCTTTCTTTAGCGTGACTATATAAGAATTCTTCTGTGTCAGTGTTCCAGCTTTGCAGGAAAGACTAATCCTGTATGTACTTGGCACAGTGTTGAAAGAAAACATTTTCCAATTACCAATTTCCATTAACAATCAGCATTTTCCCATCACTACACACTCTTGCAAATGTTTCCATTAAATATATTTCTAATATTAATAAAATAACAAACTCTTTATTATCCTTTTGCTTATAACTTGATGTCTTAACATCAAAATTATATTTCTTTCTAATAAAATTATACATAGTATTTATATGAAACAAAGTTGTCATGTGCATGAGCCTAGTAATGAAACTAAGCATAAGTGTAGATGTTTCTACATTATTATTTTTTATTCTTGGGGGAGTTTGTTATTTTTGGAGCCACAGAGAAATAATTTACAAGGTAATGAATTCCCTGGCTACTCGGTAAGGAAGCTTAAGATTGGAAATGATTCCTCTGCTCTAGCTTTATAAAATTTGGGGTATACTGGGAAAAAAGGTCACTTTTCTATCTGAATGTCTTTATGTGTTTATCCAGAAATCTTAATGAAATGTTTCTGATACAATGTGTTATGAAAGCTATCATACAAATAATCAGAAATAACATGAGAAAGGTCTATGCAAAGATCTTAGCCAGGTGCAGACAGAAGGCTGTGCTCAGAGGGGCTCTCCCTGGTGGAGGAATTCCTGTGTCATGTTGGGTAGACTTATCTTTACCATACTGTCCCCTCCTTGCTGCTGGGACTTAGCCAACAGCTTTAGGGCAGGGAGCCTGGAAAAAGGAGGGTGAAGCACAAGGACAAACCCACTTTCCTTTACTTTTTTTTCATGGAGTAAGCACGTCTGTTGGAAACCCAGCTCTAGGCTGTGAAAACCAGTGATGCAGACTCCAGAAAGGGAAGTTACTGAGGTTTCCATTCAGAAGGGCATTTAAACATGTGCCATATTTTATGTTCATGAGTCTGTAGGACAGCTTTCTATACTTACAGTGAACCATGTATTTTACCTACTTTTCTGGTCCAGTCTCAGAATTTCCCTTCCCTGGATTTGATGGTCAAACTGTAGGAACTTCTCATTTGGTATTTGTCTGTATTTGGAAAAGCAGAGCTTAGAACTAAAGTAAGTGCCTTTTTTAGAAGACATCTTGTGGGTAGGGGACAATAGAATTTAGCTGGTATGTAGGAAGTAACTCATCTAACTCATTATTCAGTATCTGATGGTCAAAAAACCTGCAGCTATTAATTCTGTCATGGGAATCAACCTGATCCAGCAGGTGATGGGGTGTGGTGGTAAATATATGCAAGAGTTATATAATTTGCAAGAGTTACAAATATAACATTTGACACTTAACAAATTGCATATTCATGAACAATGTTATACCTAGTTGCCTGCTTGAAATTAAGAAAATAAGACATAAGTGCCTCAGTTTGTGCTGTCTTAGAGGTTTCTTTCAGTCTGCTGCGTATAAGACCATACCTCTTTTGGCCACAGATTCCTTCCCCAAGTCTCACTGATTTCCTTATTACCTGGTTCACAAGACTACTTGGATCTGCAGCTGCTGCCAGAGCTCCTCCCCGAGGAGAAGCCCAAAGACTACATGGTGAGAGCACTATCATTTTTTCTGAGCTACCCCAGTGACTTAGTCATTGCTTTGTAAATATTGATGCACAGATAACATGAAGAGGAGTATAGAACATCAACGTTCTTAAAGCTAATGCCCTTGCTTGTGGCATAGTGATAGCGAGGAGTTGGGAAACAATCACAGGAATGAATGCATCCTCTTAAGATAATATACAAATGATATGAAAGGTTTAGACAACCAGCTGTTTATACAATGTGACCTGTACTGGTGGCGTAGGGATTACACCGACTATCTTTTGGCCCAGAGAATATGGAAGGAAATCCAAACCTTTATGGGTTATCTGAAAAGGGCCTGCTTATATTTTTACCTGTATTTATTCTATTGGAATATGCAAACCCTGAAAGACGTGGCAAAATAAGAAGTTTTTCTCTGCATTTGTAACATGAACATGACCCAGCACTAAACATACTGTAGAAGTAGCAGCTACACAGATACAAAATTAAAGTTTTGTGCTTAATATACTCCTTTATCTTCTAAGCATGGCAAAGTCCTCAGCAGCTGTGGTAATCCAAAAGAAATGGTAACATACATCATCCATGAGGTATGGTCTAACTTGTGCATCCAATTTTCCAGTGTAAAAAAAGGGCACTCCCTTTCATCATATAGGATCCCATGTGCAGTACCTCACCTTAAGCCATCCTCATACCAGTTGAAATGTTTTGTCATGTGCACTTTTGCACCTACTCGTACTCCTCATATACCCAGCCAAATACACTGCAACTCTGTGTTCCAGTTCTGTGACTGCCATGTAGGTCGCCCTCATGCAGCAGAGGAGCAAAACAGATGGAAGCTTTTTGCAAACATGAGGCTTCTCTCTGGTCTTGATTTCACTTGGACTTCAGCATTTCACCAGGGAAGACATGCACCCACAAGAGATCAGAATCCGACTCTTTCTGCAAGGCTGGGATTGATTTTGTGCTTGCCAATAAGCCTACTTGATTAATTTTTGCTTGGTTTTGCTGCTTTATATATCCCCTGTTGTCTTGCTCATCTTTGTGTAATGTATCCAGCGTGAATCTTGAGGAAGGGAACTGGCCTTCACACTGGGCAGTGTGAGAATGGTAAGGGAAAAGTAGTGTTAGTTTAGGACAAACATCTTTTCGAACTCTCTTTGAATGATACTGTAGCAACACAAAGCCAAATAATTTCCAGATCAAGAAGCAGCACCCTTGTATCACAGCTTCACTGTATTTTTTTTGCCTTTTCCTGCCATGATGTGGCATAATAGAAGAAGACATTTCACTTACAGCTGGCCTCTGCTGTGAAACAGGGATCCCCTTTTCACTCTCTCCTAAGTCTGGGGACAGTACCTGGAAACTTGACTTCAGTGGTATAATATATTTACATGTCTAAAGTAACTGTGGATCAAGGTTTTCATTAATGACATCATTCAGGGATGATGTTCAGCTACCCCTCTACCCCTGGCAAAATTTGGGTACTGGGTCATTTCGACATAGAAGGCAAGGTAGGCAGATGAAACACTGTGGTCTGTGCCATTAGCTAGAGCATGCCTTAACCATATTATATACTAAGAAGGTTTTCTTGATAGTCTAGGTACAACACACAGTGCAGGCTTGATGGTATGCAGTTACTGCAAGGAGGCTACCATGAACCAGGAAAGCTACAGTACAGGCAGCATGGTTGGGGAAAAGCAGAGAGAAAACTGGGAAATATATATATATTTTACATTGTCAGTGCATTTTTATATTGAAGAACTCTAAAGGGGCTCTATTTTTCAGTAGGCATAGCTAAGGATGGGCTGCCTTCTGTATCCTGGAGTCTCTGGGTGCTGCTCGTGGTTTGTAGTCTTCTCCAGATCCAAAATCTACTGTGTCATGATAGTTTGTAAATTCCTGAGGTAATGGAAACTCCTCTGTTGATGAATGAGTCCTGTGTCCAAACACTCTCTCTTGCAGCTCAGCGATGTCATTTCTGATGTCTGCCATCATCAGCAACAGGAAATCAAATGAACCTGGTGGGCCCTGCAGTCACAAGGCATGGTCATTAATAATAATCCACTTCGCTCTTACAGTTTTCAGACAGGTTGATATAATTACTCTTGCAGGGGTAACTCGGTAAAGTACTGCTTCATATCAGTTGCCAAAAGTTTAACGGTCTGTTTTTGAATCAACTTGCTCAGGAAACAATTTTCAAAAGAAGCCAAATGCTTTTGCAGATAGAGCTTACATTTACAAGATGCTCAGCCCTTTTGTTACTTAACAATTCCTTTGCTGTATCTGCCTCCTAAGAATATCTTGACATCTCATAGGAATAGAGGAGATAAAGCTTGGTTCCCTGTGTTCCTTTTTATTAAACTGATAGAAATTAGACTCTTAGAATGACTAATCAATCAATAATTATTATTTATTTAAGAAATTTTCTCAAGAATGCTGGTATTTGGAAGGTATCTTTTCAAGATGGTAACCTCGCTGCTGTCCATCACTTACTAAATATATTGGTAATTACAAGGCAGAGAGTATTCATCTGGTTTTATCTGATTTTAGAAAATTATAATTTCTTTTTAGCTGACTTCACACAGTGAAGTACACTGTTTAATACTGAGGACACTCCGCTGGACACACTCTTAAAAATCCATTTCACCAATGAGAAAACACCATAAGAAGCAAATTCTTAAACAGTTTCACCTGAAAACAGATTGTAATTACTAATCCTTCTGCTGATGACTTGCTCAAAGCCTATAGCTTCCCAAATCCCAGAAACAAGGGGCAGGATTTTAAAAGGTTCCAGGGATCAAACTCCCATTAGTAGCAGCAGCTGAACTGTACTAACTAGCATACTGCATGGGATCTCATGCTACTGCTTTCTGAGGATGTCCCACCGCGGTTGTAGGGCAGAGGTGCACTTACTGCCTTCAGTGTCACACCCAGCAAGGGAAGAGGCGTGTAGGCAAAAACACTTGGACAAAACCAGGTAATTACTTTCCTTCCAATAACTTTCTGTGCATGTAAAGTATCTTTGACTGTGCTGTTGACACAGGAGAGGGTTTTTTTTTCCCTTTTGGTTGACCTGTTGTTAGTCAACACCATTCTGTTGGGGAAATTCCTCCTGTGAGCAATACTTACAGGTATCCCCTTTGGTCCTGGTGCTCCTCGCTCCCCCTGTAATCAATACCACCTCAGTTAGTTTGCTGTGACTAAAGGAAATGAAAAAAATCAGTTTGCCTCTGCAGACTCCCTTACTTATTGTCCCCAGATCAAGAATAATCAGCTTACACTTGCTCAGAAAAGAAAAGAAAGTGAAGGAGGAACACAAACCAACTGCCACTGATACTAGTGGGAGCAGAGTTGGGCATTTCTGATATTTCTCCTACACAGTAACAAGCAAACCAGTTAACAGGAGAAATTCACACAAGAGCAGTCTAATGACATGGGCTAAAGCAACAATGTTTCATCATGGAAAAGCCAAAGAGCTGCAGAGAAAGGAAAGAAGGCTGCTGGACAGATAGCCTGGCAGGGCTATTTGCAAGACTTAAGGAATGGCAAGTACAAAATAACAGAAGGAAGTCATGAAGGGATGGGACAACACGACATTCTCAGCTTAGAAAAGGAAATGAGATGGTAAAAGGGTATGACTACAAGTGTGTAGAGGGTCTCTCTAGCAAGCCTGCACTTCACATGTGCATGTGCCCATGTTATGGAAAACAGTACCTCTCCTCACCTTGCTACCATCTCTCCCTGGGGCTCCTGGTGGGCCCTGCAAGAGAAAAGAAAGTGTTCACAAGGATTTGAGAAGTTGTGGAGCTAAGGCTAATTGTGCAACACGTGATGGGAGTTGAGAATACTGACCACGGGGCCCCGTCTGCCCTGCTTAATATGCGATATGTCTGGAGATGGGCCCATTGGCCCCATTGATCCACGAGGGCCTGGCTGTCCAGGAGGTCCAGGTGACCCAGGAACTCCTTGACTCCCTTTTGGTCCTGGAGCCCCTGCAATTGACAGCAAAGGTTACCTGCCAGGGAAAGCCTTCAGGACACTTCATCAGTGCAAGCAGTGGGGACTGACCATTTTTTGAATCACCCAACGGACTGGTTGCCTTAACACATCCAAATCCACAACAACACAACCAACACAGCAGTCATCTGAGACAACATTACTTCTTGTCACAGTAGCTACAAGAGATGTTCACAAAACAATTAAACCTTGTGTATACAAAGAAGCCAAGACTGCCGCTGCCAGGTGGTTGAGGACACAGACTGGGAATGATAAGAAAAGCAGAAATGCCTCATTTTCACACAAAGAAGAAAAGAACAAGTCACATTTGAGGAACATCTCATAAAAAGAAAGCCTCAGAAAACTCATGGGAATGTTGGGTCAAAGGCATCTACATGACTGGCACAGAAGCAAGCCCTTTTCAGTGGTGGGTTGCACCTCTCTTTTGCCCAGTACAGTAGCCAACGTGTTAGGGGCAAAAAAGGCTCTGTTCTTCCATTTTGCTTGATATCCTTTTCAGCTTCTGCTGGTTCAGCAGAGAATGTTAGTTTTTAGGAAGCACACAGGCAATAAAGCATATGTTTAGCTCAAGAGAAACACTATGAAAAGCAAAACAGAAAATCAGGCACCTGAAACAAAATTTGCATAAAATAAAGACTGTTAAAGTGTCACTAGCTGAATTGCTTTATAGTTAGAGGGGAAAGCACTTTTCTTCACACTGAGGGCATGTGAAGGACATAGAAAATGAAAGGCAGAGAGTAAAAAAGTTCAGCAGGACAGAATATGTACAGTTAGGATTTTCAAAAGAAGTGAAATCAAGTTCAGTGACGAACCTCTCGGACTCCTCCTGAAGACCCAGCCGCACAGGGCAGAGGAGGAGGCGAGCAGGGATGGTTTTCAAGCAGAACAGATAATTCTACAGTACCTTGGACAGCTCAGTGATGGGGAAACCAGATGGAAGACCTTCAGAGTCAGGCCTATGTTAGAGAGATTGCAAGGCGACACACAGTACAGTTCAGAGTTTGACACAGAGTCTCTAACCATATTGTCCTTGCACTTATGATATACTGAAGATTGAAGATACTCATCCTCCAAGAAAATGAGATAAAAACTCAAAAAATCAAAGCAAGACTGCAAAAGTGAGGATAAATGGGGGGGCAGTTCAGTAGGGAGTAAATCAAACCTCCTAAGGAATATCTGCCAGTCCTCTGTAAGAATATTCCTGAAACCCACCACAATGCTAAAACTCCTTGGATCTATCACTAACCCAAAATTAGATATGCATTCAACTGAGTTCGCAAAATTTTTAGCATCACTGGCTACTGGTTGCAAGGTGTTTGGCTTAAGTTAGAGCTTTAGGAACTCTCTGTTTTTCTCATTATTTCAAGCTATGCCTTAGCAAAGAAGGTGTGAGTGGAGTTTTACTGTTCAGATTCCTTTGAATCTGGAACACAACATAAAACCAACAAATGAATTCTTGCAAAACCAGACGAGGAAGAATAAAACAGTTGGCACAAACCCTTGCAAACTAAAAGCACGTTTTCTGCTCTACTAATGACAGTGAGCTAAAGCAATAGGTATTCCTGAAATTAAATGGAGAGTGTTTTAAGACAGAGTTAAAATACAGGAAATGACAACTGAAGCAGGTGAGATATCCCAGGGAGGGGGAGAAATTCAACACATAGAGGACAAACACACCTTGCACACCAAGAAACACACGGAGACTAAGACACAATGGATGATGTTAGTTGGCAGAGGCTGACCATAATGACCAGAAAGTTTTTCTTTTTAAATTTAGCACAAATGCAAATATGATAATAACAATTAAAATATGAAACACATGAAATCCTATCACACTGAAAGATTGAAGCTTATTATTTTTATTCATAGCACTATTGCACTTTCACATCCCTCTGGTCTGTATCTTACCTGGAGGGCCTTGTTGGCCAGGCTGGCCTGGGGGGCCAGGGATATATGCATTAGATGCAAGCACTTTTTCACCAGTGATTTGCTTGCTAAGATCAGCAGCATTATTTGGTAGCAAAGCAACCTGCCAAAACCAAAAATCACTGTAAGCCCTTCATCTTTCAGCTGGGTAAATGACATTCTTGTTTAAGCTTTCATGTGGACAAACAGCATATTTGAATACTTCAGGAAAATATAAAATGTTTAATTATATCCTTCACTGAAATCATCAGAAGAAAATGTTACTGTGCGAGGCTGTTCACTTTTCAAGTCACCGTGGAAATACTGCAAGTCAATCCAAATTGAAGGTGGGAGAAATTCAGGAGAGATACAGCAACAAGTTGTCAAAAACGTAAGTCTCATAACTGCTTGGATCTTCTCAGGAAACCTCTTTTTCCTTATTTGAAGTTTTCACTATTCATTTACTGCCCTTTCTCAGGGCAACATTTGCTTAGATATTTAAGTTCTCATTTGCTGCACAAGCCACTAACTTTTCATGGGTTCCAATGACAGCCCCAAATCCTTTGTGAATCTGGCCCTGTAACCATACTATTTAGCTCAACAGATGTCTGGATCTGCTCTGCATAGAGACACAAAGGTAAAGGAAGTGAGAATGTAAGGAGAATTGCACACTATAGTTTAAAATGTCATTATCCATTACATCGGATGTTTAATTATCCATGAAACATTAATCTGCCCAGATTGAATATATTTAATAATTAAACATATTTAGAAATATTCTGCAAATGTTTAGTCTCCGGAGGCAGCTGAAGGGAGATGGCAAGCCAGGAGGCTGGTCTGAAGTGAGGAAAGAAGTTTATTAGTGGTGAGTGGCTGCATGTAGTGTTCGGAATTTTGCTCTGCCAAATGGAACTGAACAGCTATTTCAGCAATACCAGGGCAGATCTATCCCCAGGTCGGCTTTGTTGCTCCCTGAATAAATTTGGCTCACTGGATAATTTGATGCTTGATTCTGCAACATTTGCATGGGAGAGCTGTGTTAAATAAATGATGTTTAATAAATGATTAATAATGAATAATTTACTAAGTGATTAAATGATTAAATAAATAAATACATAATGACTCCTGCTATCTGACAACGCTTTTAATCAGCTGTTTGGAATTCCCTGCACTGGACTGTTCTCAACACCCTACTTGTTTCAGTAATTATTTGACATACACCCTCCTGCCCTTAGTGCAAACCTAATGTTTGTAATGCACAGGAAAAAAACCAATGCTATGCACTTGCAGTACATGCTATAACTGGGCAAATTTCTTTTGGCAAACAAGTTATTACTTAAGGAATGCACTTTAAGGGTGGCCAGCGGTGCTTGCAGTTTGGGGCTGGACGCACAGAAGAGTTCTGAAGGAAGCAAAAGGGAGAAAAAAAAGTCAGAAATGCTGAGACAGTTCCTGGTGGCATTTCTGAAACATCAGTTTGATTTTTCAGACTGGAATTCAAAATGTGATGACAGGAATACAAGAATTTATCAGCCATTTGTGACTCAGGTTTTGGAAAGCATTGCTGTTCCAAAGACAAGATGACTGCACTAAAGGCAAATTAAGTGATGTGATGTAAGTCTTACAAGAATTTGGTAGATTTACTCCACCCCCACAGAAATCAGTGACTGGATGAGGTCAGCACTTCACAGAAACCACAGAGGGTGTTTCTTATGTGCTTATTCCTATTGAATCTGCTCACATAGAAAATGAGGATCCAGCACACCTACTGCGGTGGGGTGGGCTGTCATCTTTGGTTTTCCGAAGAAAAACATCTGCTTTGTTTACCAATGACACTGCAGCTTTCTCAGCCAACATCCCAGCCATTGCAGCACAGACCAAAGCGTGGGACTGCTGAAGATAAAGGGCTACTCCATGGGCCACAGCAACTTACACCTAGGGCTGAAGAGGAAAATTCAGTAGGTGAGGGCTCTCACAGCCACATTGGCCACGGTCCAGCACGGGGAGGTCCACTGGCCAGCTCTGGTCAGCACACTGCAAAATTTTGTTTCCTGGAGGTACGTCCACCCTGTCTAGAGCAGGGTCCTGGCTGGGTACGAATGGAAGGTTGCAAAGAGCACCGTGCTGCAAAACTTCCACTACATAACACAAATCAGCCAGGGGCTCTGCAGTGCCGACGCTGCCATGCTAAAACCGAGACACGGAGTTAAATCCTGTGACTACCTGAGAGCATTATATTTTTTGGGCGGTTTTTGTGAGAATATTTTCAGTGTCATCAGTGAGTGTTTCTCCTTAGGGGTGGTGACAGTTGAGTGACAGATTAATTGATGTCCTTTTTAGAGCTTATACTTAAATTTCTGACCAGATCCTATTTTGGGGCTCTATTGCTATCCCAGCTGATAAATAGAGGTCACTTAGTATGTAGTCCCTGCCATGAGTACTCTTCAGGTTATATTGCAAATGGCCAGGCTGGAGTTAGTTAAAATGTGCATTTAGTGGTGAAGACTCATCATGAAGAGGATTTGGAAGTGTATTCTTTTCTGTTGCTTAAATATTGACTTGTTCCTGCCAGCAAGGCTGTTTTAACAACTTAGTAAGTTAAAAAAGAAATTACATAGCTGCTATGAAAGCATCTTCACATGCTTCCCCACTGAGTCAGCTGGGCTTGAGGCAGACACTAGGAGTGCCAGATACCCGGGCTCTGGTCTAGCTCACTGCTCTTTGATATCTTCTGGCAAGAAAATGGTTGTTACATACACTGGGGCCAAACCATGTGGTTTTGATGTTGAGTCACATCCTCTTAGGGACTGGCTATGCTCGCTGGCCCAATTTCTGTTTCACCTTTTAAATGAACCAGGATCCTGGTCCAGGGTGACCTTGGCTTTCTCCATCCACAGCTCCAAATCTTAATGGCCCTTGCAAAATAATTTTTTTTCCATGTGCGTGCAAATACTAGCGAGGGTAAATTTTAAAGAAAGGCAGTACTAGAAACAAGACTCCCATATGCTGTGTTGCATGCTGCATCTGGAGTTTTGGGTAGTTTCTAGAAGATCTGTGGTTTAGATGACTTTGACAGTGCTTGACAGGAGTGGTGTCGAACATGGCTTTCTAATTAAGATGTTTAAACACATCTGTGCAATAGGATCCAGCTTACTTGTTTTTTTTTAAATTGTTGGCTGTGTGTCAGCATGTCAAATATCTTTCCCCCAGTTTTTCAGCTTTCCACTCTTCTTCCTTCCAGCAAAGTCTGAGATCAACCTAGGACGGCCCACAGGCGCCTAGTATATTGGGACAGTGCATCCCACTGGACGATCGTGCAAGGTGACTTTCTGTTCCTGATACTGGAACTGCTCTGTCCTGGATCTGGAATGGATGTTGCAAACCTCCAAAAAGGTACCAGAAGTAGAAGGACTTGAGTTCACCCCTGTTCTTTCCTAAGGAGACACAAAACCACACCTCCCACTTTCAGAAGCATACCCCAATTCCCAGTTGTAGCATTTGCTGGATTGGATCCTTCACAGGCTCTTCTGCTAAACATAATTTTGCATGAAGTTCATAAAATCTGAAAGCCTTAACCACAAGACTGAAGACTCATTCCCATAAACTGTCTCTCTGGCAGACAGAAATGAATTTTTCTGTGCAAAACAGAACAGCTTCAACCACAGATATTGAGCGATGTCCTCCCTAGAAGAACTTGGCCATGGGGAGTGGCTGGTGAAACATGGGGGTTCATGTCTCCCTGGGCAGAGAAGCAGCACGAGGCCAGATCTTCTCTCAGCATGGGCAAAAGCTCTCCTGTCTGTGGGGTAAAAAATGCTGAGGGTATCAGGGGGCATCTCTTCCAGCTCTGTCTGTGTGACGCACAACCCAGTGGGCTCCCCCTGAGGATGCCAAATAGATCAAGTCCCACTAGGAAGATACTTGGGAAAAATTTAGTCTATGGACCATGACAGGACTTAGCTATGAGGCAAGACTGAGCTGCCTAGTTTGGCCACAGCTATTGTACAACTGCCCACAGTGACAGTTATCAGTTGGTCTTATTTTTCCAGGAGTGAGTTTTGAACACAGGCACCTAACAGTGGAAGTTAGACATAGATAACTTCATGTTAATTCAGACCATTGATTTCCATCATTTCTTGCAGCAAATGACTTGGCCAACTGTGTGACTCCAGATCCCCCCCTGGAGGTCAGTGTGAGCCTGCTCAGCATCATGGAGTGTGGCTGGACAATTAGCCACCCAAAAGCACAGATCCTTTTTTAACCTGCCTACTACCATTTGTTTGAAACACAGAATTTCCATCACACATTAAATTCTGTTACTTCCACATTTGTCTTCATGCTGATTCAGAAGGAAAACATGACATTTGAGATTTTTGAGATAAAGAGTATCTAACCTCAGTGTTTTTCATTTTAGTGAAGCAGATTTCTTTCTTCCTAATATAAATTACATTGAATGTATAATATTAAATGCAACAAGTGAATACACCAAATTGTGTTTTGCCACAATGAAATTAAACGAGCACCCTGGGTGAAATAATTACAGCCTGTCAACATGAATTCCTAAGGATATTCCTGCAGAACATTTCAGTTTGAAAGAACCTGAATGTTCGAAGGAGATGTCACCAGAAAGAGCGTTACACCTGCAGCCCTGCACTTGCCTCTCCAAATTCTAGGCTGGCCCTCTGGGTTATTTCAATGCTACTCAAGTGCAAAAGGAGGCCACATATAGGAGCAATTAAAGTTAAAGGCCAGGGGAAGTTTTTAAGTGCATTATTCTCTAATTGTAAGGACACAGGTGAAAACAAAAAAGGTTGGGCTGAGGGTTTTTCCTTTTTAAAAGAATCAAAGCTAGTGATGTTTTTGTTTAGCCACACACCTCCTGTTTGGCAAGAATCTGTATCAGCACCCTATTAATGCAAAATCATGTTCTCCCATGTTCCCGCATCTGCAGAATGTCTTGCACTTGCTTATACTAAAGGTGGATCAAGTCCAAAATCCTGTGCATTCAGAATGAATGAAAAGCCGAGGCCAGTGCAGATTGCCAAGAAACCTGGGCTGAGACTGAGATGGGTGTTTGCCAGACTCTGTTACCATGAGCTTGGTAACACAGCTCCACAAGCTTGGTTAGCAGTCTCCTTACAAGCAATACAGAAGCATAAGGAAGAGATGCCATTCCTACATGATTTTAAAATATATTGCCATCATCTTTATGGCCACAAGAGCCACATGGCAGCAACAGCTCCAAACACTTAAATTTAACCTCAGTTGTCATAAAACATGCAGGTCTGGTGAAGACATGGCTGATCAGCGTTCATACCTTTTGCTTCAGTTGTAAAACTGTCTGCTTTATTTGATGAAATTCCTTGCAAGAGGCACAGCATGTCCCCGGTTTTGCCACATTTTCAGACTTCTCAGGAAGCCCCGCTGAAAGAAAGCAGTTTCCAACACAAATATAAAGATCCAAAGGAAAGAAATTAATAAAGTGATTGCAAAAGCAACTTGAAAGTTGTTACATTTCCCCAGACGGTGAAAGGAGGAGAGAATCTTGCCATTATTAATGCTTTGACTGCGAATTGCTATGTAAGGCTAAGAAACGTCACAGGGACAGGTCAGAGCTCATTTTTAAAGCAGCTGTTTCCAGTTAACAGGCTCCAAAGAATTTCTTTTTTTAATACCTGGAAAAGTTTACACCCCTTCTTTTATCTTTGTGTTTAGGGTAGACTAACCCTATAGATCTGAACTGATTTACAGTCCCCCAAAAGGCAAATTTTCATATGCTATAAATTACAGTAAAATCCCTCACAATATGGTCATTTCATTCACTTTGCACAAATTGCTTTTTGTCATCGCTGGTTATTCCTCCATGTGATGGAATCAGCCTGAGCAGAGATGGGGATTGAGATTAATGACAAGGATTTAAATCTACACAAGAGAAAGGGTCACACCTGTTGATACTATGCATGAATGGGATCTTTTCAAGATTCCATTAAATGATTCAAACTGTAAGAGACATTGCAAATGTTATTTTTGTCCTTTTACCAGTCCCAAACACAGTGAAGCGCTTCTGCATTGCAGTCAAACAAGCATTGTTTTAACAGATGTCCGCTTAAAGAGAAATGTGGTTTCCAAAACACAGGGTGACACATACTGGCAAACTCTAGATGAGCTTTTTTCCTTCCATGTATAGTTGTTGAGAAGCATCACATGTATTGAGGCTCTGCATATGATGTGTGGCCTTGTACTGTTACCTGGAAGGGTTACTTGATACATTTGAACACGGACCTTTCAGAGCACGTCCTGCTATGGAAAAACTGCAGGTGTTCTTGGTTAAAGCCAGCAAATCTTCAAAATCTTCAAAAAAGGATCAATTACAATGTGTTTAGCTATTGTGTTATACTTCTCACTTGGACACACACTTTAATGTCCTTCATCTTTTCAGAAATGTGCATTGATTTTGAAAACATCTGGATCATTTTAAATAAAAACAGAAGTTTCTAATACTAAAGATATTATGTGGTACTTAACTTTAAATATTTGCAGGGTCCAGTAAAGTATATTGCATCCATCAGATCATCATCTATGGAACACTGATGCATAAATTTAGGAAAAACTGATTTTTGGTATGTTAGTCCATTGGACATAATGCCACGTCAGGTATGCTTGCTTTTAGAAGACAAAGATTAATTTCTCTTATCTCCTAGTCAGGTAGGAGAGGGCTGTAAGGGCAAGATGCTGGAATGACCAGCAGCATTACGACTGGTATTAGCACTGAACTGATCAGAAGATTAGGAGGCAAAGGTTTGGGGGTTTTCCCCACTTATCAACTGCCTGCTCCCACAGCTGCAGTCCAATGGCATTACAATAAGACACAATTTATTTAACATTTTTATGGCAGTAAGCACACTGCTGTTTGAGTTTTCTAGCCCTTCCTGATAGCACATGGCTTGGTAATACCTGAACAGCTTTCTGTACGGTATTCAGATGGCCCAAAGATTTAAGGCCAAAAGCTACTACTTGGGGTTTTCTGATGAACTCTATATAACATATAATAGAATTTCACCAAATCACAGCTATGCTAGCTCCAAGACTATTTGGCCACAACACCTTCTAGAGGGACTCTGGCCTTTGTGTGAAGATACCTGAATACACAGCATCCGCTGGTTTCCTTCCTCACTGCTGTATTTCTAATGTTAATCATTTTGCCTTTGACTCTTTCCAAAGCCTCTTTGCCCATAAACCTTTCTCTGATGGATTAAAGACTGCACCATGCAGGTTTTTTTCCCCTTAACAAGGAATTGCTATGCTGTAATCAAGATACCTCTTGATATTTCTATAAGGTAAGTTTTCTCTTGACCACAAGACAGTATTGTGTCTCTCTCATGGAGTTCTTCCTCCCTCTCCAATTTTTCAGCTTCCTTTAAAAAAATCAGTGTTTTGACATGTCCAGTTTTGCACCTGTGTAGGATTTACAGATGCACACATATAGAGCCATTAGAAAAAATGTCTTTCTTTTTCAAACTCCAATAAAGTTTGGGTTTGGTACTAGTCTTAACCAAAATTTCTTTTAAAAGCTATCTTACCAAATGAGTTCCCTCATAACATGCACACATTGTGTTAAGAAATGTTGCTGAAAGCAACATAGAGTCATAGGGAGAAACTGCCAGACCCTCTGCTATTTGAAACCTAATGCAATCCCACTAGAATCAGTGGAATTATGTGCAGATTAAGAAGTGGTGAATTTGGCCTCGTGTTTCATTATAAAATCCAGTTTATCTTCCAGAAGGATGTGGCACACGGGGCTGACAAGTATAGATAAAACAGAGCTGTAACAATCCATGGAGATGAGTGCGGGGGGAGGGGGGTGTCAGCTAATATTTGGGAAATATCATACCAGTGGGATTTCTGCAAATCCAGTTGGATTGACTTGTCAGAGGAAGAAGTCCAACAGCGTCATATAAGCAAGCATGAGCTGCGTCCCAGGAGAGAGGTGGAATCCCCCTAACTCATACCAGACAGAGGTGATGATTTGCCCAGGGAGGGAGTCATCCATCAAACATTTGCTCTGCCCCCATCCATCCAATCCTGTATTAGGACCAAACTACAAATAAAGCCAGAATAAAACATGGATAAAGCCAGAAGCCACCTAGGACAGGCCAGAGGGGGCAGGAAGCAATTAGATGGAGCCACCCACGCACAGTGAAGAAACAGAGGTCACCTACCAGGGTCAGTTTGGCCAGCACTGAGCAAGGCACTTACATAGCCTGTTTCCACTGCACAGACCTACACCAGGAAACTAAAATTATTTTGGAGAAGGCTTAAACCGGCCCCATTTTATGAAGGCTTTCCAAAGCACGAAGTCTAGCTCACATGTGACGTTGCTGTCCTGACGGGGGTCCTTTCATCTCGGTGAGACACTGGTGAGCCCCATGGCACCTATCGATAAGAGATCTGCACAGGGGAGCAATGTGTTTTCTTTGCATGTGCTCGAAGACTCTATCTTGCTGATGCTGGAAGAGAAGGAGATGCTGGCGGGGGAGAGCTCTGCAGGGAGCTGTGCCGCAGGCGGTCTTTGCATGGAGACTGTTGAGTTGATCATCTGTGTTGTATTATCTGGGCTCAGCCTGCTGAGATGGTTTCATTCGCCTCCTTCTGCGCATGTAGCGGTATTGTCTCTGTCAAATGCAACACGACTGCAGATGCGGGAGAAATGCTCCCTATTCTTGTGCCCACTAACAAACAAAGCTCTTGGTCAAGCCCACTTACAGAGCTAAAAAAAGTGCCTGGATTGCAGCCTTCAGGCATGGCATGATGAAAATGTGAATAGTAACTCTTGGGAAACATGCAACATGGTTAGAGCTGGGGAGGGATACGTGTGTTTGCATGCCTCTCACACTAAATTTTAGAATAAAATTTAAGTGTTCCAGCTACCGTGAAAAGCAAATCATCTGTTTATTAGAAAGTCACTCCAGCGTGGATGCGGTGCTCTCTGGGGCGGTGCAGGGCTGGGGCTGACCACGGGGTGGTGCGTTGCTACAGCCTGTTCCTCACGGCTGCCGAAAGCCTTGGTTTTCTTTGGCATGAGTTACGGACACAAGTCCCGCGAAATAGCGATGGCCAACTCCTCTTTCATTTGCACCAGAGGTCTGGCAATTAGTAACATTAACTTGGAGTTCAGCGGGGTAACTGAGCAGAAAGTGTCCTTCTCTGCTTCACACAGCTGATTTGGGAAATGTCTAGAGAGATGGTGGGTATTTCATTCCAGATTAACTACTGGAACTGACATTTTTATGTGCCATGAACACTCCGTGTAAAATTGGTGTTTTTCAAATATTAGAATTATTTCCACAGCCTTGAATATTTTGAATGGCCAGTTATTCTGAAAGCTTTGGACATCACTCTGTCAGGAAATTTGAACGAGTCACTGGAAAAGTTAACTAAAAAAACTATTTGCAAAGGGTTATATAGATTATATCTCTTTCCTTTATGACCCTCCCCACACTTATAAGGAAAAAAGCATTTGAAAACTACAAGGAACAATTACAGTTAATGGAGTGGCTCCAGTTACATATTTTCAGAGGAAAATCAAAATTATAAATTGCTCTGGCCATCCAGTGGGATTTGGAGCACCCAGTGATACATGTGTTCAGGCATTAACTGATGAACTTATGCTAAGTCACCATTCATCAAAAGAGGTTTGGTTTTTTTTCCAGAGTACAGGTTGTTCTCTTCCCTCTATCTTTTTAAATTGTCATATCAGTATTTAATCTGCAGTACTCTATATGCTGTAATTTAATAACTGGGATGAGGTAAAAAACATTAAAATCATTTATACAGAGCACACATATATACTTAGAAACCAAGAGTGAAAAGCAAGAACAAGCCCTCACTTTTACCCCTTTCCCATCATATATAATTTTCATTTAAAAAAAGAAAAAAATCTGACCGCAGTCAGGAGACATACAAACTAATTGCAGGTCAGCAGAATTCAGTGTTACTCAACATAATTCAGCAATTGATTTAAGCAATGCTTGAAAAGCATGTGGAATTCCCAGGCACACCTTTTCTGAGCCTCTGAGTGCCCAGAGGCACTACCCACCTCCCCAGGGCCATTTGCTAATCTCAGATGTAGGCATGTAAATACAATTTAAAGTTACTGAAAATAATTTAATTAACAGATGAAATTAATGATGGCTTATAAGGGTCAGCATCTGGCAAATGTTTTTTTCCTATGTCTCCTGAGCTCTGGACTGCAAACTAGGTATAATCCAGGTTGGTATGGGAGCAAAATATGGCTTTTAGCAGATGGATCCAGCAGAAACGGTCTAACTGAAGCTGTAACGGCAGGTTTTACTGTTCAGCCACTCTACCTCTCCAGGGAAAGATGCTTTCCATATCCTTCAATGTGCTTGTGCTCTTTCTTTATAGATGTGACTGCTGATTTACTGCTGTGTGTGTGCAGCTCATGAACTGGGGAGGAGGAGTGTGTGCAACAGGACTTCTCCACAGTGAACAACCCAGGCTCTCCGAGGAGCATCAGCTACATCCCAGCTTTGGATCCCCCACTCCAAGTGTAGCTTAGGGAGCAGTTCCTCTTTACGACAGATCAGCCTTTTAGACGACCCTTTGGCCCAGGACCTTTAACCCCCACTAGCATATACCTTTATCTCCTTTGGTGCATGTCTTGCCATCCTCCTCCCGGGTATAGCCTTCGTGACACTCACACCTGTAGCTGCCCATGGTGTTGACACAGATCTGAGAGCACAGCGTCCCATTGCTTGCGGCACACTCATCAATATCTGGAGAGGAGCAAAATTTCAAAATGTCTTAAACCTGGAAGCTTCAGACCTCAAATACAGCAAAAGACTTCCTTTAAAGGTATCAGGAGATTTTGTGGTTAAATAAATCAGCAATTGCAGCACTGCTGGTGCTTTGGGATGGAGCTCTGTGCAAACGGCACTATTATTATTAACACACCTGGCATTTTATCGGTGAACATCGCTTCACCATTTTTTTTGCATTGAAAAGCTCACTAAGCTCAATCCTGCAAACCCTGGCTCCCTGGTACAGCAAACCACCCAGGGCAGGGCAGGACTAGCCACACAAGGACCACATGTAAATGATCAGTCCTGAATTAGATGCTGGCCATCTGAATCAAAGCCCAAGGATTTATTTTCATAATTAAGCCCAGCTACAGTGCTTTGAGGGTTACTGTTAGAATCATGTCCCTCGTCTCAGGCCAAAACCCCAAATATGGCTCAAAACCTGCAAGAGGAATCAATAAAGGGAAAATTACATCAGCCCAACACTTCAAAGTGTTTGGGTGCATATGTTTCTTTTAGGTACTACCTCCTAATAATTTCAAGGGGATTTAGATCTCCTAGTTCTGGGAAGCAATCCTTAACATAGCTAAAAACCACATTTCTTCTGTAATAGTAATGAGAACAAGAAAGGTTTCAGATCTAAATGGACTCCTAAAGACCTGAGGGAGGAGGATACATCATTAACCAGACATGAGCTCAACACACACTTCCACCCACCTAGGCAGTACGGCTTCTCTCTGTTCCTGTGCCTCTCCCGATCATAGCGGTACCCAGGATAGCAAGTGCATAAGACTCGCCCAAAGTTATCTGTGCACTGCTGTTCGCAGGGAGCTTCAGCACAAACATCATAGTCTAGAGAGAGAAAAACATAGGAAAAATACCAATGGCACTAGCTGGATGATATTTTGACAGCAAATATTTCACCTCTCTGCTAATTAATGAAGTCAAGTTACATTGTTCTTAAAGACTGAAGGAACCTAGAAATAAAACATTCATAAGACATAAGCAAAGAATTATAGTAAAATTGTAATTGCTAATCACAGCCTTACAGTACTTAGACTATTTCTTAAAGTTGGATTTAAACAAGGGTCACTTTTACAGTTTGCAGAATTTAAGAATCCTTCTTACAGAAATATTAAGTTACCTAAAAGTTTTTTTCTGTTTCCTTCCACAAATTTTTAAATGCTGATAGCAACATTTCCTATGCAGAATACCGTGAAACACTGTGAGGCTAACTGCCAAATCCAGGCAGAAAGTATATCATGAGGAAAAGTTAATTAAAATCACACAGTAATTGTTCAAAGCCAGATATAACCCTTCTAGCAAAGAACACATTGTTACAAAACCATCATCACTCTTAATAACAGCAATGTGCAGATTAGGGTATGGTAAGTTGCTGGCTGGGCTTGTCGGTGAAATCCCAAAAGACTGAAGTCCCAGTTTGAAACCCAAAGGACAGTGAATCTGTTTCTGATTTCACTGCTATATAGCAGCAGAGCTGAAGTCCAGGGAGGGGATACCAGAGCAAAACAGGGTCCAATTTGCATCCCTGCCCCTGGCATCAGGCTGGTGGCAGGGCTGGGGGTAGATGGGCATACCCTGGCAATGGGTGCAAGGGCTTTTCAGTGCCATGGGGAACATTTGTCAGGAGAAGACAGGAGCTGAAGAGGCATCTAGTCTCAAAACCAGCTCAGGCAAATGCTGCTGAAGGTTCGGTTTTATGCCAAAGCAAGTGGCAGTTTGTGTGATCATTTCAGAGGAACATCATCCTGCACACAGCATCCACATGGTTGTCACTATGACCCTTCAGTCACTGGGTGCTGGGGGCCTACAGCTGCCCCTGCTCCAGACCAAATACATCTAAACCAAACCTAAGTGTTTCGATCGAGTTCCCAGCAACGCACTGTGTTTCCATATATACAGTATAAAATAATTAAACCCCAAACTCATTATTGACTCACACTAATGACTAGCAGACATCTCTGGGTACAATGATTTTTCCAAACAATTAAAATGAACTAATAGATGGTAAAGCAAATGAAAACACATTTGCTGTACAAAGTATACAGAACACATGTGTAGCACTGGGGTAAAAGTGACAGTGTGCCAAGCTACAGAAAAGCAGCAAATGAGACTTACAAGCTGCTGTGTGTCACACCAGAGCCTCTTAGACCCAAAAATACTATTGTAATGGTGCCAAGCATTTCCTCCCTTCTGCCTGTCACCTTTTGAATAGCAGGCATCCTTTCCTTCTTACTTCACAACTGTGTTGATTTTAACTCTTGAAGTCAGTGCTGTGGCATTGAATGGCAGTGCCAGGATCCCTTCCAATACCCCCAGGGTCAAACAGTGCAAAGCCTTGCACAAGCATGGAAGAAAAACATGCCCCTTGCCTTCAAACATAGTCAGACTGGGGGTTAGTTCGAGCTTTTTAGGTGGTGCCGGGGCTGTAAACTCACATTACATTTGGCACTACTAAATACTCCCAAATATAAAGCATTAGTGGTGTTTTTCCTGGGCATGGTTGCAATTTTCATTTTCAACTGAAATAAGATCAGCTGGAGAACAGGCTAGTATGCCCAGCACTGAGGTGAGTATGCCTGCTCCTTAGCCAGCATGGCCATGCAGATGCTGCATTTGGCCTGTGCCATGTTCAGCCTATTCAGAGTGGAGGCGAAATGAGCTCTGTCATCCCTGCACTTCCATGAATAGATGTGCCCTCATAAAATCATAAAAACCAGCACTGGCAGGGACCATCTCCCACCACAAGCAGGATTAGCTATGTGTAAACCTTTCGTAATAGACATTCATCTAAGCTGCACCTAGAAATCCCTGAGGGATGGAGATGCCTCACCATGCAGTCTATTCCCAAGATTAAATATCCTTGCCTATAGAAAGCTTTTTACTCATATCTAATCCAAACTCCCCTTAAAGCCATTTAAGCCCATTATTTTTGTCCTCTTCTTGGCCATAAAGAATAGTTTACTTTCCCCCTTGCAGCAAGTTTTCACTTGTTAACTGTTCACTTGTTCGCTGTTATCATGTCTCCCCTCAGCCTCTTTTTCCCTAGAATAAACAACGTCAGTTCTTTTTAATCTTTTGATCATCTCTCTTTTGCCATATTTCATGTAACTAGTCTTTAAATACAGTTTTCACATCCACGTTAACAGAGCTCTATCAAGACCATTGTTCCATTTACTTTCATACAAAGCTAGATAAGGGTCCAGAAGGTGCATATCTCCCTGCTGGTATTTCCCACACAGTCAACCCAAATCACACAATGGCTGTAGGCAGGTCCCACATCACAGAGCTGTGCATCCCCCAGGGCTTTGGTCCCAGGTAGCATGAGTCCCTCAGGAACAGTCCCCACAACTGGGATGAAACTGGGGAAAAGCTGCTGCACCACCTCCGTGTGCTCTGCAGAACCAAGGATGCACGTGCCCTCCCATGTTCAAGCCCCTTGTCTGCCAGCCCAGCCTAGGAAATGTGGTTTGAGGGTGAATCAAAGCCACATGGTGAGGATCAGGCTGTTCCAGACTTTAGGAAAATACAAAAAACCTAAGCAGAATAACAAATGTCTCTACATATATTTCAATGAACTCACAAATGACAATGTAGCATGGAAAGTTGTACCAAGGAAATTTCTGAAATAGCATTAGTCAGGGAAGAGCAGATCTGACTAGTGTTTGCCTGTCATATGTTGCTCTGAATTAATTCACAGCCAAGAAACTCAAGTAACAAACCAGTGGTAGGGAGGGTACACTCCAAAAGAAGCTGTTCCAGACTACATCTGTCCCTGCTTTACTCTTGGCGATGCCGTAAGACAGGACGTGGTTGGAGCTGTGAGTCTCCAAAGCAAAGAAGAAGGAGATCATTCAGGAGAAAAGGGTGAGGAGCTCTTTTTTGACCTGCTTCGCAGGTCAGGTGGAGCAGGAAGAGATGCTACAGGGGGAATCAGATGCACAAAGCAAACTCCTCTCGATGTCTCCTAAGGATCATTGCTCCCTGCCCCTGCAGCTGAAACTTGGAGGAAGAAGGTGAGTCCAAAGCAAATGAAATGCAGAACCTGGGGGCATGGGCTCATCTGGGCTGCACTGATTTCTGGTGCTTTTCAAGGGCAGATGAGAAATAACAGGACAGAAACCAAAGATGGACATGGACAAAGACACAACCCTTTGGAAAAGTCTGGTTTGATAACAGCTGTCCAAGAAGGAGATTGGTGTCTTCCGGAGGCAGCCATAAGAGGGTGGACAAGGGAGGGTCTATCCCTCTCCCAACCCTCCTCTCTGCAGCCACTGCTAAATCACAGAGAGGACAGGGCTGGAACTACTTCTCATGGCTTTGACTTGCCAGTACTGGATTAAAAGGTGCAGATGTGCTCTAATAAACTCACATCTGTAATGTATTTATGTACCTGTGTCAAGATATGCATTTCATACAGCTACTCTCTCAAGATTATGCCAAAACAACATGTGAAGAGCCAAGTGATGTCTTGTAACAGAATAAGTGAAACAAGTGCTACACTGAATCATGTTTCTCATTCCTATACTGATAGCCCAATATTGTCTCAGATGTTATAGCAATTGCTGTGGCCTCTGAAGTTCAAGGCAAAATAGAGATTGAGCTGAAAAAGGGGGAATGGAGATACACAGGGAGAGAAGCCACAGCCAGCAGAGAAATTCAGTTAGTGGCAGAAACTTTCAGGTTACTGAGATGCAGTTAATAGACAGGACTAAGTGAAGTCAGTGGGTACATAATAAAAGCTGCTTTCATAATCACCTAAAACCTCAAGAGATGAAAATTAGAAGTCATAAATAATATATTGCTATGGGTCTCATTGTATTTTTGCTCCTATTACTTTTCCTGCCATAGGAAAGCTGGAGCCTAGACTATAGAGTCCTGGCTTCTTTCCACTGTGAAAGGAGTCAGGGCTTCTGCCTCCTATGCACGAAACTGACTTGTACAAGACAGCACAATCAACTCCTCCAAGTGTCCGTCTTGCACTGGAGCTGTCATCTCACGCCACACACACAGAGACAAAACTCACTGCAAAACCATGAGACAAGGAACTCCTTGTTGAGTATCAACTTCACCCAAACTCTGCCCAGATCCCTGGTGCTTGGGCAGGCACCATGAGCCGTTTCTTCGCAAGGAAGGAGCAAATGCACAATTCTGGTTTTGAGAAGATGTGGGGATTTTTCTTTTTTTTTTTTTTCTTTTTTTACCTTTTTTTTTTTTTGCAACCAGTGTTCTAGTGTTTCCAGCCAGCAGCAAAGAAGATACAAATTAAAAAAAAAAAAGCAGCAGGATCAGAATTTGGGTTACAATCCCTGTCGGCTGGAGACTGTAACTCAAAACCCAGCTGACTTTCTCCAGTATGTTAATTTGTCACTTTTCTTTTCAAAACATAACCAACCCAAACTGGGAAAACTGTCAGGTCAACTTGAGGCTTTCCATATGTCATCAAATAGAAGGTTATGTTACCATAAAACAACTTTTTAACCTGCTTTTTGGAGCAAACAAGGTTTATTGGCTTGTCATCTCTGGCCATTTGCTTCTGCCTGACAGTTCCTCTGCTCCTATAATTTCAGAGCCAATTTCATCCAAATTGGACAAAGTGGTGGGAGTGATTGAAGAAGTCACATTGTTACTGCTCATGTGAAGCCACTGTCTGGGTAGACCCAACAGAGGCCTCCCCCAGGGTTAAGACAGCAGAGCTCAGGCTTTTCCTAAGTGAGATCTTGTTGCAGCAAAGTCTGAGCATTGGGACCCCAGTACTGCCTTTGCAAAGTGTACAGGCAGCTCCCCTCTGCCAGGAGGGGATCGTTCCCTTTTCACTACTGCATGAACTATCCTGAGTAATTCTCCTTCTCCCTCTGCCCCTGGTGACAACGAAGCCATGCCCATGACCAGGAGAGGTGGTGGAAGAGAGATGCCATTTGGTGATGTCTCCTGTTGCTGACTTAAAAGCCAAATCAGCTGTGCTAGATCCAAGGGGTATTTGGGAAAGCCATCAGCCAGGAAGGGTGTCCTCCTGGTTGCACACAGCGCTCCCACATACCTAGCCAAGAGCAGAATGTGTCCCTCTGTTTGCAGCAGGTCATGGTACAAGATCTGTGCAGCCACGTGTACTTAGGAGAGGATCAAGGCTTGGCATGCTAAGCAAAACTTTTGGAAGACACTGATCTTTTTATTTTCCCAACAATTTCTTGGAAACAGTTCCTCCACTGACACATGAGATACGGCTGAGCCTGTGGTTATATCAGGATGCTCTTCCAAACTGGCAGTATGGACAACAGGGCAAATGGGCCAAGACAAATGCATGGGGACACAGGGGGTAACAACAGTGAAATTACATACCTTCAGGGATGCACTGTCCAAGAACAAACTTATAACCCTTACAGCATTTTTTCCTGAAAAACAATAAAATAAATAAATGAATAAATAAATATATTCTCTAAAGGTTGGTGCTGCCTTTAAAAACAGTCATAGGTAGGTCATGGATGCGATGAACCAAACAAGATGAGGATCCTGACCTTTGCAGTTGAAGGTATCTCAGCATTAAAGAACGCAACATCGAAACCCACCACTCAGTCCATGAGGCATTTTAAATGATAGCATGGCCAGCCCCCTCAGGAACCTGGACTGGCTACCCCAACGCTGACCCCAACGCTGCTCCCTTGTGTTGAAAGGATGCAGCGCACCTTGGTGCTGTCCATATACACAACTCAGGTCATAATTTTTGTGATACGGTGAAGGGCGTTTTCAAACATCTGTCATTACAATATAAACTTGCAGAAAGGGGTAAGTCTCAGTGATGAGTACACACAAGATAAATGTTATCAGTCATTTCTCATCTTTTAATAAACCTGGAATGTGATAAGTGAAATATACTGGGTATTTCAACTAGAGCAAGGGAGAGTATCTTATATAGAGGGGGACAAAACTGCAGCAAACAGTCAACAGGATCAGATACTTTTTATGTGCCTATGATATGAACAAAGTCTCAGTGCTGAGAAATTAAAGTTTCTGAAACACTGGCCTGTAATGACACTTAGGCATTCAGCTATACCTGCTTGTTTGCTTTCTAGGCAGCAGACCACATCAAGTCACCAGGACTCCCAGCAGTTTGAGGAGTGAGGAGCCTTTACAAATGGCTGTGTCCCTTATCACCTTGAGAACTACTTGCTGCAGGGGCCTGGTGACCTGGCTACCAGGACTGCCGCAAGAGAAGCAAATTGCTGTTCAGTGTGCTATTTTATCAAGTCAACATGAGTCTGAGGGGGGAAAAACCCTGTATTTTACAAATTCACAGTTTTTCATGCCTTGCGGACACGCTGAAATATCAGCAAAATGGGAAACCATCCATTTGGTCTTATCCTTTAATTCAATAACTGACGCAGAAGAGTGCTAAAGCCATGGCAGTCAATGACACAACACTCCCCTGGACAACACGCAGCCATCACAAATCACCAGTACATTGAATTTAAATCAACTATCAGTTGCAACTGACCACTTAAAACAAACAATGCACTACTCCAAACTATGTAAAAACAAACTTTGGCTCCATATTTTACCCTCTTCCAAAGATTAGCTGAAATATAAATTATGCTTAATGAAGGTTGAACATCTGAAGAGGAAGCCTTGCTTTGTTATGCAAACAGTGATCCCTCATTAGACTTTTCTCCAAACACTGCTGTGAAGTTTTATCTGCAAGACAAACAAATGCAGAAGGAATGAGTTCAAAGGTGCATCGGGGAGGCTGTTCATTTGCTGCAAGCCATGCTGATGGCTTTCCAAGAGCATATTCATCTCCTCCTTGTCTGCAGAAGAAGAGAGGCTGATAAAGGCTTGCTTGTAGCTGCTCTTCAGAGGGACATGCAGCCTGGCTTGAGAGAGGGCTGGGAGATGGGAAAGGAGAGGAAGGCATCCCTGCCATGAGATGCCAACCTGTGGGGTTGTACCAGCCTGAACTAAACAGAAAGAGGGAGCAGCAGCTTTCATCATTTCTACCCTTCTTCCTGGGAATTCCCACTTCATTTTCAGGCTTAGGACCCTTAGGACTCCCATCCTTGGCGTGGCTTGTGGCAGCAGATGCAAACCTCAGCTGGCACAGCCTGCTCCTGGGTAAGGGCTCACCTGCTGGGAACCTTGCAGGAGCTGCCCCTCTCCTCTCAACTTGCCTGGCAATGGCTTTTGGCTGGACTTGTTGGCCTTCTTGTGGCTAAACTGTGGTTTTATCTGCCTTGCTGGATTCTCCTGATAGCCAAACTACTTGCCCTGATCAAACCTCTCTCCTACAGCCACACACTGAGAACCCACCATACGCTGAGCTACATCCATTAGATACTGTTCTGGAACCCTGAAGCAAGCATAGCCTTGCGTAGCCTTGCTGGGGGTTGCTCCAGTTAAAGCAACTGGAAAATTGTGCTGCCCTGGCAGATATCCAAGACCCTGCTGAAATCTGTCTCTTCAACAGCTTCTTGCAGCAATGAGTTCCACAGGGAGATGAGATGTGTTTGAGAAATCATTTCCCTGTTTTCCGTCTCCAATTTTCCCAGGGTTTACTGGTAAGGAGATTTGGAAATATTTTCTCCAAATACCTGCAGATTTTTCCACATCATGAAAGCTTTAAATCACACCTAAAGAAGTGGTTTAGAGGAGAGATACCCTGCTTTCAGGATCACACTCCAGAAACCAATTCCCCATGATAATTGGTTCCCAATTAAAGATTACAGATCTCTGTATTGGCACAGCCTGTATTCAACAGCAAGCTTCAGACATCAGCATGATTTGGCCAGGGAAACTGCTACTTTAGGGTTAATGCACAGGAAATACAATACAGCAATACCCATTTCTCTGAACATTACATTTTAACCCTGGGATTCCTGCGTGCTTTAGCTTTTTACATTCTTAAAGAGAAATCTGTCAAAATGATTGACACATGAGTTGATCATTAGCAAAGGCATTTTAATAGCAATACTCATTTTCAGACATCCAGCTCCAGGTTGACATGTCTAATCAACGTTGCACAGCAGCAATCTCGTTATACATAATGAGAGGTAAGAGGGGGGTCCCCACTGATAATTGTAGCTACTGAATAACTTTCAGCGAGGCAGTTGCTACGCAGCTGTACGTGTGAGCATGCATCAAACACAAACTAATACACAGCTGTGTAAGAAGCTCAACCACTAAAACTTGGATCTAAGGGGAAATTAAGTTGATCCGTTAACTTTAAATCTGGCTTCCAAAAGGAGAAACTTCTGGCAGACTTCTCTGTTACAGCTTTTAATGGGATGTTTCAGCTATTAAAAATATAGCAACTTCTGATTCTCATGCAGTCTTCACTCAGGAACATGCACAAGCCCAAATGCGCAGAAGGCTTTGGGCACCATGATTTCGATAACTGTAACGTCTAGCTTTTGTATTACCTGTAAGAAAATCCATAGCGATAGGGACTCTCAAAGCAAAGTCACCATTTTTTTCTGAATGATAGCTGCAGGAGAAGCGGGAAGATATTGAGCTACTCCCCTCTGCTCTGGAGGTCGAGGTGCTCCTGGACCACTGAATGTCAGAAGATGGGATCTAGGGTCAAACCTCTGATACCAATAAACACATCCATGACTAGGCAACCAGCAGATCTGCCTTCATTGCAGGCTTCTGTGGCCCATCACTTTGCAGACTGAGAGGGGAGCTGACCTTTCCAGGAGCACCCCCATGTCCCATTGCCCAAGGGTTCCCCCCGGGTGCCTGACACACGGCAGTGCACCAGCACAGCACCCCTGCCCCATCTTGCAAAGCAGTAGCTGCTTGATAGCATCGCCCCAGACAGGCAGGAGGAAAGGCAAGATGCAAAGAATGTGGCTTAATTAAGCCAGCACTTTATTAAGTTAGCTTATCTGGCAGCTATCAGCAGTAACTCATCCAGTGCGGACCACGGTTTTTCCCCTTAATTGTTTCCACCTGGTGCAGAGCTGCCATCACCCCCAGCCCACCTCCTGCTTTGCACCGGGACACCGTGGCGGGTGGCAGTGCCGGAGAGACCGCGGTTTGCTGAACTGAGAAAATACTTCTGTGTGAGAGGGAAAGGAGTGATTCAGGGTCCTACGGCAGCTGAAATGCTTTGGAAATGCAAACAGTAACAGGAGAAACATTTAAAGTGATAATTAACCTGTATCTGTCTGCAGTAATGCAGCAGTGACGGGCTGTGACAACGGCTGGCTCGGAGCTGCTTGATGAGTTATTGAGGTTTTGGTTAGCTTCAGCAAAGAGGCAACTCTAAAACTCCATCATGACTATTGTGTTGAAAAAGATACATAATGGCCATTTAGTGATTGAAAAAAGGGAAGCAAAGGGGAAATGCGAAGGGAAGGAAAAAAGAAAAGTTTTATACTGGTTTCAGATGAACATAATATGTTAAGGAAACTTTTGCTAAACATGTCAAAAGTAGAAACAGAAGAGTACACCCTAGGAAATATTTGCCTCCTAGGAGTAAAAGCAGACATAGAAATCCCTATGCTGAGTTAGAAAGTGAGTTCTTAGGATAAAATATTACCCTTACTTTAGCGCTACAATGCTGGGATTCAGACAGACAGACAGCCTCCAGGATAGCTCCACCCAGACAGAGGTAATTCAAGCAGGGGCACTTCACCTCCCATTCACTGAGGCTAGGAGCACACACATGGACAGTTTCTATAGCTCAGCTGATGTCTGAGGTCGCTTCACAGGAAGATGCAGCAGCTCCATAGGTGGTCAGGCAGGTCAAATCCCCCTTCTCTGACACGCTATTTCTGACCCATGAATGTCAGAAGAGTCACAGTTTAGGGGGTGTAAAAGCTGCTTAACATTTTGTGTAGGATTAGATATATCAACACTGTTCTCGCAGGTCGGTGCTGGTAGAAAGTAATGGTAATACAGTCAAGCAAATGTATTTAATTAAAAAAACAATTTCCTGTTGGGAAAAGATAGAAAAAAAAATTTTAATCAGATTTCTTCAGCCAACATCATAACATGAACTCTGAAGAATTTGTGCCATATCTTGAAGACCTGAGTCAGCAAAGGCTATGGCATGGCTGTGTTTAATTGCACAAAGGGGTCTTTGTTAGACTGGCTCCTTATTGTGCCTGCCCAGTGTTTCTTTTTGATCACCCTGACTTTGAGCAATACACAGTACAGCAAAAATGCAAATATAAAATACAGCAATTAACTTACAAAAAATAGTTAGACAGCTATAAAAGCAAGCCAACAAGGTACATTAAAAAAACCCCTTGTTTTTCTCATATTCTATATAAAATCCAAATGAGGGACAGGTCTGTCTGCCAAAGCATGTACAGACAAAGCCCATCTGCAGTACAAGTGTATTAAGGAAGCAGCTCAGTAGCTGTGCACAGTTTCGCCATAATTCACATGGAGA